GGTAATTAACTTAGAAGAGTCGTGGAATCGATAGGAGTTGAAATCGCCGGAAACCGCCATTGTTGGAGACTGTTTTCGAGCTGCAGGCCCGAAAGCCGCCCACCTTTTGCAAAAGCCGCCCACCTTTTGTCTGCTGTCCAGAATTTTCACTTTCAATTGGCCTAGAACGGGGATTGATCGAAGGGCTTAGCAAAGGCAACTAGTTGAGCACATCATAAGGTGAGGATGGCTGACTATATTGTTTATAACTAGTGGGTTAATTCATGAGATTACCTAATGTTATAAAAGCATGATTTTAATTAACTAATATGCCAAGTAAAGTGTCAATTGATCATATTGTTGTATATGAAGAGTTGATGCATGATTGATTGGGGTATGAGCAATTGGAGCATGATTACTTGATATGTTTGAGAAGTTGTTCTAGTTGATTTAGTGATGAACTAATAAAATGTTTTTATTAATCACTATTTAATTATATTGATTTTATGGTTAGTAAAGTCAATATAGAATGGAGTGAGAATGAGTTATGGCATGGCCGCCACGTTTGTTTAAAAGGGAAAGAGAATTTGAACTAAGAATAACTCGGGTGATACTAAATGACTAGTCCGAGGTTATAATATGAACATTTATAAATTAATCCTAAGTTTAGGATTGTGATGCTTCGTCACTAGGGTATTCAATTGGGATAGCCTTAGATGATTTAAATGATATAATTATCCTAGGATTTGATTGTTGATATTATTATCCGGGTGGTCTTTAGGATACCCGTGATTGATTGTTTGATTGGTAGCAAGGGTCATGGCTCGGCTCTAGTCTAAGGATAGATGCCCGACCCCATGAACTTGCTAATATAGATAGATGAGGGTCATGGGTCGGACGAGTCTGAGGATCGTGTCGGACTGCATGGGCCCACAATAGGATAGATGTAAGGACAATGGCCCTACTTGGCTCTAGAGAGCGAGATGGATAGCATGGACTTACAGCGTGATCACGTATAAGGGTGGAATCCGAATCAAAGACCTTGCGAGGCTTTGACAGCGGTAACACATAAGATAGGACCCCGAATGGGCCTTACCTTCCTACGGGAACAGGGTATGAGCCCAGGGGCAGGATGCTGGACTCCGACCGAGTGCTCCATGGAGACTTGGATAGCGGTGACAGGTCCTGTATGAATTATTGCAGGGCAATACGAATTATCGCAGGGCGATACAAATTGTATTTTTAAATTATCGCAGGGCGATACAAATTGTATTTTTTGAATTATCGCAGGGCGATACAAATTGTATTTTTAGATTATCGCAGGGCGATACAGATTATATTTTGAATTATCACAGAGCGATTTGAATTGTATTATTAAAAACAAATGGGGAAAATAAAATATCGCATGGCGATGCAAAAGGGTTTTGACAAAATACAAATGGGCCTATGGGCCGACTATTTGACGATATATACTTATGTATGATTTGAAAGGGGTAACTATGGGTTATTTCCTAGTATTATGATAACACCTATGTTGAGGGTCTTAAGGATTGAAACATTAATTATATGCGGTATAGTTGTCATTGTACTTTTCAAATTCTTCAAAGTACTGACCTCCCCTTCACGGGGGAGGCCACCTCACAGTTTTCAGGTAGAAGCTAGAGCTTGCTTCCTGTACCCGTTGCTTCGGGAGTTCTTGGAGAGAAGACGTGGTTCGTGCTTCCTCCGTTCTGTTTTCAAAACAATTACAATGATGCTCATGGATAATATTTTCTAATAAGTTATTTGAGGGCTTGTATGCCTAAGTTTGCCAAGTGTGGCTTGAACACTTGTAATATTGTTTCCGCTGCTTTAATGAATATTTTACATTATGTTTGTTTATGGATGTACTATGTGTGAATGATATTCCAGACGCCTTGTATAGTATGGATGTGTTAGACTGCGGTTGACTATTCATACTGTACGGCGGATTGTTGACGTGTCCGGGTAGGTCCGGGGCGTGACAATATGAGTTAACATATGTCTGTGCTCTTTTGATTTATTTTATTACAATCACAGGGCACTGTTGCAGAACTTGCCATTGCAGCCCGAGTGTGCATAAGAGAACATGGCAGCGAAAAGATGTGAATTTGCAATGAGGCTCTAGACTTTGAGAAAGATCCACTTAGACTACTTTGGGTTTGCATGTTTAGTGTAGGATGGGTTTGGTTGTAAAACATTGATGTAACCTTACTATGGAGTACATTTTTTTGTGCTCATTTTTTGCCACCATGGGTTTGGTTGTTAAATGTAAGAGGTTGTACAATGTTACACTAAAAATATTGTACAATGTCCTAGAATGTACTCCCAAATATTACCTGAATTGGTATGTCTTTTTGTTTTTGTGGGAAACACTTATTGTTTATGGCGTTAATATATATGGTGGATGCCTTTGCCTGTGAAGAAGAAAAATCTTGTTTGTGCTGTAATACGACTGTGTCTGTGATTTATATCGTAGTTGTCTGTGATATGTACCCGCTCTTACATCTACTTAAAATATTTTTAATAACTACTTTATGTAATTTCATAACTGAAACTTTTATTACTTTTTGATTACCACTGGAGCCCATGTGTAATTTTGAGGTGATCAATAAGTTTATAGATTATTAGTTTAATCTTAAAAACTTTACTTGTTTATTTTAATAACTAGTTGTTTAAAAACTAGTATATGTAATCCATTGCCTATTGCGCGTCTACGAAGAAGAATTTTTTTTACGTATGGTGTAATACGACTTTGTCTGTCATTTGTGTTATATTTGTCTATGCTATGTATCATTTTTTGTATAGTTTGAAAAATAGACATTTTCAAAAAGAAATATGTTTCACAAAATATGAGGCAAGACATTAATAACTGCCCAGAAATATGTTTTGTGTCTGTGAAGACCAAAGACTTTGTTTGTGTCTTAATACTAAAATGTCTGTGAAAATACATGTATGCACATTTACATCAAACTAAGATTTATTATATCCATCGTCATGCTCAATGGTCACTTGTAGGGTACTTCCATGGTTATTCCTAGCCCTTAATTTCTACTTCCCCCTCTCCAATGGTCCTTTTGGACGGTTTTTCATCGGTGCACCTTGCTCTTTGCACACTAAGGATCTCCAATGATTTTTGGAACCTCACCCTGCACACAACTACTCGTTTGTTAGATAGATGTTAGGCTGCCAACATCCGGAGTTTTTATAGAATCAACATCACTCTCATTTTACTGTATTTCTCCATCTGTCCAACATTCACGTATTTCAACAAATAAATAATGTGCGGATGACAACGTGCACACGCAAAGGTATACATACGCACACAGGCAATGGTATACTGACGCACAGACAGAAGTATATATATACACACAGACAGAACTAACATCACACACAGACATTTCAAATAGAAGTTTATTTACACCCAGACATATGTAAATTTAAAACATTTTAAACACAGACACGATTATATACACATCACAAACACACATACAATATTATACACTTCACACAAACACAGAAAATTGTATGTGAAGAACAAACATATATTTACATTCAAAGAATCAAAGCCAATGAAATCAAATATCAACACAAACTCATACCAAGCATCAACACAAATTCATACCAAGGCAAAGAAATCATATATTTACAAACTCAAACATAAGTAACTCAAACACAAAAGTATATTTACACACAGACATTTCAAATAGAAGTTTATTTACACAGACATAAGTAAATTTAGAACATTTTGAACACAGACAAGATTATATATAGTTCACAAACACACAGACGACATTATACACTACACAAATAAAGAGAATTGTCTGTGAAGAACAAAGATATTTTTAAGTTCAAAGCCAATGAAATCATCCATGTTGAGCCGCTGCTGCCGGTTCTCCGTCAACTTCAGCCGCCGCCGCTTCCGGTTCTCCATCAACTTCAGCCGCCGCCACCGGTTCTCCGTCAACTTCAGCCGCCGCCGCCGCCGGTTCTCCGTCAACTTCAGCCGCCGCCGCCGCCGGTTCTCCGTCAACTCCAGCCGCCGCCGCCGCCAGTTCTTCGTCAAACTTCAGCCACCAAAATCCATTGATTTCATTTATTTGAATCCTAGCTATTATGTGTTGAGGTTTGCTGCGGGTACAAGAAAGGACGGCGCGGGAGGGAGTGGGGGAAGAGATGGTGGGTTGTATTTGCACGTAAGGGAGGGAGGGGTAAAAAGATGGTAAATTTTTGACCTATTTATAGTGTGTAGGTGTGTGTATGAGTTTTGTGTACCCCAAGCTCAATTGTATACATTATTTGTTTGTAGCTAAACTTTACATACATTTATTAATTTTTCAATTTTATTTGTTCAAACAGACAAATTTTACCAATATTTTGTGATAATGCAAATATTTTTTAGAGACGACACATATAACAATTCCAATAGTGATTCATCTCCGATTTGCTTTCCAACAACTCTCCATCTCCGTTTATTTTTCTAATCTTGGAAGATAATGATGATGTGGGTATGTAAGATGGAAGATGATGAAGATAAAATATAATGCAAATGGGAGATAATGAGGATGGTGACCGTAAAGATGGTGAACCACTATCAGTTCAGTTCAATTTTCATGTCCATCCCTAATCATTTTTTTGTCAATATCTTTTTACGAATAATTTGATTTAAAAAATCAAACATTTCAATGTAAAATATAAACAAATTTGGAGTTTAATTTTATTTTGGCTACTTCAGGTATATTCCTGAAAAAATTAAAAGTTGTAAAAAAATTAATATTTTAGTAGTTAATCATGAAATCTTAATTTTAGTACTTTGGATCTATTTAAGAAAAGTTTTGAACCTAAAAATTCAACGGTTGAAACTTCATACTAGTATTTTTTAACTTTATATATGGAGTGCTACGTATGTAATATTAGAGTGTCTTATGAAAGATCAATTATGAGTTTTGGTAAACAAAAATTAAAAGTTGGAGTATAAAAAAAAATAGTATGTGATGAACATGCAAATTCTTATCATTGGACAATGTCACCATTTCCTTATGCTTGAATCAACTCTTCGTAATATACTATTTTGTCTATGTTGACAAGATTGGGTACAACATAGAATTTGCTTTGAAGAATGAAGCAGATCACATGTCAAACATCCTGGAAGTTGGATTTCCTTGGGGAGTTTGTTACCAGGACAACATTAACATCTTCAAAGATGCACTTGGCCTAAAATTATCAAGCATCATACATACATCCAGCCAGAATGTAATAAAAAAGTATAATAATAATAAAAAGCAAGACAAGTTTGAGGTATATACTCAACCACCCACCCACTAATAAGTAGATCTCCCTCACCAGACAGGTTTCTCCCCGGGCAGATAAGAAGGAGAGCCACCCTCAACTTGGTTTACCCTCTTATGAAACATCCCACTGAGGTTAGGCATCAACACTTTGGGGTTCTTTCTCCTTCCTGGCTCACTGACCATTGTCTCTGCCAGATTACGAGACGCTGCGGCTGCTGGTTTATTTTGTTCCCTTTCCCGCAACCTCCGCATCTCTCCCTCCACAGCCCTTTTTGCTGCTTCGGCCATATCTGCCCTCTTCAACGCCTCTTGAGTGGCAGCTCTTACCTCACTTATCTCTTTCTGCATAGCCTCCAACTTCTTGACCGCCTCGTTCTCGCTTGCTCTCACGGCATCCACCTGAGCCATTGCAGCTTCAACTTTCATCACTGACAGCCTCTCTGACTCTTCAACTTTCCTACTCAGTGCATCAAATTCGTCTTTAGACAGAGTGACCCTAGCACCAGATTCGGAAGTTGAGGCACGAGCAGCAACAGTTCTCTCTGACAAAATCCTGATTTGATCAAGAGCCTCCGCTTCGGCTGCCTTTGCAGCTTCAGCCTCTTCCAGTGCAATTTCAAGTTTTTTCTCAGCCTCTTCCAGTGCAGTTCTAATGGTTTCCCCTTCTTTCTTTATCACTTCCACTAGTGCTTTCATTTCTTGAGATTCAGTTTTAGCATTTTCACACTCTGATCGTAGCTGTTGGAGGGTATTGATCATTTCTCCAGAAGCCCCTCTGACTTCTGATTCTTCTTCAAGTGCTGCTTCTAGCTCTGACTTGGCTTTCCTTAGCTGGTCGTGGAGATTCCCTGCAAGGGTTTCAGTTTCTAATTCCTTCTCCTTCAGTTCAGAGTGCTCCTTCTTTACATTCTCCAGCTCGAGTTTGAGATTTTCCAGCAGCACTCTCAATGAGGTTTCTTCTTCTACTACCTTATTAAGTGATCCCTTGGCATCATCCAATTCCATGGTAACAGCCCGAACAGAATCGAGATCCGAAGACCTTGCGGTTTGCATCGCTTTTTGTAGCAATTCTATCTCTGCTAGCCGAGTTTCCAGATCATTTTTCAAGTGGGGATTGGTCTCATTTCTTAAAGAAGCCAACTTCTTAGCTGACTCTTCAAGACTGGATTTGAACAACTGTTTCTGATCATCCTTCTCCACATGGATTTCAGCCTCTTCTGCCTGTACCTGTATACTGGCAAGTTTTATCTGCTCAATCGATTCCTGCACAACCAATACTTCCTTGGAAAGCTCCATGGCCTTTTCACTGTTGGATCTGACAGATTGGTCAGCTTCTGCCTCTTTATTCACAGCTGTGTACATTTCATTGGCAGAAGCAATATAATCTTGACGCAGTTTACTCAGTTCTTGCTTTGCTGCATCAAGATCAGTTAATGCAGACTTGTATTGATCTCTTGATGTTTCCAAGTCCATCTTCCAAGATTCATCACTGTTCACTTTACAGTAGCTGCTCTCAACCTGATTCTTTGCTGCTTCAGCGGCCTTAACTGCAGAATCCTTTGTTTCAGAAATGACTTTAAGCTTTGAGGTCAGTTCCTCGACGGCTATTTTGGCTCTCTCAAGCTCTATGAGTGCTTGGGACTTTGTTGTTTCAGCATTCTTCAGTCGTTCCTCTAATTTGTCTATCTCTTTCTGTGCCAAGTGAAGTTGTGTTTCCTTCGCCAGTACTCTCTACAGGCAAATTTACAAAAAAAAAAACATAATAATAAATAAAGGTGCATTGACCCCCTAATCAACATAAGTTTTTTCTTTATTCAGCATTTCAGCCCCATCTAGGCTATGATTGACCCCCCACCCCCTCCCACCCCCGCCTAGAGCTTTACAGAACACTTTTAATACTACAGTAGTACTCCTCATTTTCATCATTTTCATTTACCCCAGTGCCGCAAAGGCTCCCACCTACGGTGGGGTAAGGGGGGGTCGGATGTATGCAGTCTTACCCCTGTACTAAAGCACAGAGAGACTGTTTCCGGATGACCCATAGTGAAAATCGCGTCCAAATTTGCATGGACTGACTGCTGCTTCAAAACAAAGAAGCACAGACAATTTAGTGAGCCATTTTGCTCTATTCCATCATATTCTCAAGCCAAAAAATAATGAATCTTTGGCTCCATTGCAAATGATGGAAAATACAGTAGTACTCCTCTGGGTGCAAAATTAGTAACTCTGAGCAACTTATTGGACCAGAAAATAGAACAATGAAGGCGGCTAGTCGGCTACTAAGTTTTTTGTTAAAAAAAAAACAAATGCAGTGAAAGAATATATTCATATGTTCAGCTTTCCATAGCAAAACTAGTTGCTGGCCAAAGGCACAATCATGAGTCAAATACTCACTTCTTCCCAAATATTTCATCACTTAAGCGTTCAAAAATTGTCACAACATAACTGTCTTTTCAATACAATTTCCAATTCTCTTCCACAGTTGCCCCTATTTAATCTTTTCAAATTAACAATTAGTAATTGCAAGATGAGTATTGGATGCAAGGACATTTATTGCATTATGAGAGTACCAAATACTATAAAAAAACTCCATTTACTGAAATATAAAGGCACAACCTTTGACAGAAAAAATGTACAGCTTTAATAATTAAAAATGTACAATAGTTTTGGACTAGTTGTACAGTATAATTAAGGGTAGATTAATCTTTTTATGTGATTCTTTGATTTATATATTCCAACAATGCTTTTGGTTCATGAAGTGTTTGAATCAAATATTAGATCAGCCACATCAGAAGTGGTAAAGAAATCAGATTGACTTGGAGAACCTACCTCTGCATAATGAGGTTTTGGCTTCTTGATTGGATTTCTTTCCCCTGAGAAAGCACCTTCACCGAACAAGTTGACAGCATCTTTGACAGACTGAAACGGTGCACTTGTGTCTATTTCTCCAACTTCCACTTTTGGAGATCCTATGGAAGGTTTCTTGAGTTCTTTTGCAACCATGTTTTTTTCAAATATTTCTACAACTAGAAAAGACAGAAAAATTAAATCTGAAATCTACTATGGACTTAAAGTCTTAAATAGGATAGCTGGAAGATTAGCTTATACACAACAGGCACATAAAATGATCAACAACGGGATTACCGCTTTGGAAGATTATAGAGTGCAAGCAGAGCGGTCACTATGAATGCAAAAGTTGGAACTTGTGTGAGAACCAGATGGTAGACCCAAAAAATATTCAGCAAACTAATGACCATAGCATATGCTATATATATCAAACATAAGAAGCAACAGTTTAAAAATGAACTGATGCAATATAAAAAAAATAAAAAAAAATAAAAATTGCAATAAAATTCCTCCCAATAGATGCTTTTTCAATATTTTAAGTTTTGGGGCTTTGGCATCTAACAAAACTATTATTAGCATCACACAAAAGCTTTGCTAAAATACCACCCGCTTGTAGTTGAATGTAGCACAATCTTAAACGCAATGAAAAACTACTTAAAATAGCATACTACAAAAAACTAATTAATACTCCCTCCGGTTCTTTTTAAACTTCAGTGTTTGACTTCACAGTTATTAAGGAAATAAAGTTGACTTTACTGTAGAGTACACTGTTGAGACACTGTTTGGCACTGTTTGGCACTGTTGAGACACTGTTTGGCACTGTTTGGCACTGTTTGGCACTGTTTTGGTGTAGATTTCTTTGCCAAATAAGGAAATAAGGAAGTGTGAAGTTTATTTTGGACCGTCCCAAAAAGGAAAGTGAGAAGTTTATTTAGAACCGGAGGGAGTATTTAAACTTTTAAGCACACTCTAGTCTCTATGGAATCTTGGATTATCAAAAATTGAACACGAAAATGGTCAGGGCTTAAAAGCATTTCCTTCAACACCAGATTTAGAAAATAACACTACATAAGGAAGTATATAATAGCTTCTCCTTTAGTTAACCTAACATCAGGGATACATCAAATCTCAAAGTAAATTGTACTCCGTAATATAAAAACAAAACGTGTATCAAATTTTGTGGAATTGGATTGAGCTAAAATTAATAAATCAAATAATCACCCAATTAAGCATTTGAGATTATTAAACAAAATACAACCATAAAAAACCAGACGATAATACCACAAAAAGAAGCGCATACCAAATTAAGAATGTAAACCCTAAAGATCATCAAACTCTGAAGTTCTGCAAAAAATCACAGGTTAGGCAGAGGAGGAGGAGCTCGATCGACTTCACAGTTATGAAAAGTCCGGTCAATGAAGGAAATCCAAACCCAAAACGGGAAAAGTTGCAAACTTTAAGATTCTCTAGCAGTCTAAAATAGAACAATGAAAATATTCGTAACTTTACAATGAAACAAATTAAAGGTTACCAAGTAGGGCTATAATAAAAACTTTTTTCTAAGCTACGGAAAATCAAGAAGTCATCAAAAGTGTTGAAAAGCGAGTGACTGAGAAGAGAAAATGAGACTCTCGAAAGTTAAAAAGCCGCGCTGAAACATACGGAGTAATTTTTTGAAGGGTCTGGATCTAGTTTTTGTTTTAAATAGCTGCGCTCAAACGGATATTGAAGTGTTTGGATGAAAATATATAAATACTTTTGAATGCTCAAAATTTATTCTCATTATACTTCGTTTTAAAAAAGAATCAAAAGTAGAATCAATTCCAAACATCCCCTAAGTTTGTTTTCTACTTAGGTTTTATGTACTTTTTTAGGAACGAGAATATATTAAGAAGAGTTAAGTAATGATTAAGTAGGAAAGATAAAGTAGTACTCCCCCTCTCATTTTACATGTCCTACTTTTCTTTTTGGGTTATTCCAAAATAAGTGTCTACTTTCCATTTTTGGAAAGAAATATGTGACATGCACCATTTCACTTTATTATACTTAAACCTTAACCACAACTTTTATTTTTTCAACCACTTTATTAATAATCGTGTCTCGTCAAAGTGAGACACATAAAATGGGACAGAGGTAGTATGTAAAAAGTAAAAAGGGGTGATGGTAATAAAATTGGGATATAAAGATATTTTGATTGAAAAAACTTACTAAAAAGAGAAAGAGGAACAAATAATTAAAAACATCCCAAAAAAGAATATAAGATACGGAGTAATTAATATAGAACGGAGGGAGTACTCCAAAGTAAAAACGCTTAAAGATTTTAATTTAACTAGCAAAGGAACACTTAACTCGTTTTTTCCGGGGGGGAGAGGTGGGTGGGGGGGGGGGCTAGAGTTTGGAGTAAAGTGGGATGAAACTCCCTCCATGGGATTAAAATTAATTGTATAAAGCGGTTGATGACCTAGCATCGTCTAGGGGTCTTCTCTCTGGCCAACGGCTAGCATTGTTTTTGTCGCTCGAAGCTTTGGATAGTAGTTATGAATGGCTCTCGTCATGGTTAGAACATGACTTTCAATGTTTTGCTTTGGTGGCTGGCCAATTGATCGAGTTGTTTGGTTCGACTTACTTTGCGGAGTTTGGCCGATTGGGATGCTTGGGTGTTTGGGGTTGAGGGATAGTTGGTCGAGAGCGGCTTCTCATTGGAAAGTCAGTGGATAGGTCGGGCAGAGTGTTCGACTTAGCATCCATGGCAAAGGGCAGCGACAGAAGTTTTATTGATATGTGTGTGGGGCGAGATATGCGATATAGGTGCTCGCCTTGGTGTTTGAAGGCTCATGATCTCTAGCCGGACGAACAGTTGTTTGTTTTGATTTTGAGTTTTTTACTAGTTCTAGTATTTATTTATGCTTAATCATTGTTTGCGTTGTGTCAGACTTTAGATGCGTGTTTTACTTGTTAAATTTCTCCTTCGGGTTTGTTTCAAAAGTGTAGGAATTAGGTGGATCACTATTGACTTATACATGTCTGTCGAGTGGTTAATGATTCGTGTTGTACTTGTAAGGATGGTCATCTCTATATTTGATTATTGGGTTAGTGATCAAGGCGTGATTGTGAGTCTTATTGTCATTCTTTATTGTTTGTCTTCTCCATCGAACTTTTATAATATAAGCCATTTGCATTAAAAAAAACTACAGAAGAATGATATAGCATAGTCGTGAACTTGTTCTCAATGTTCACAATGCCAAAGACAAACCTATGATCATCTCTCTTCTCGAGAGCGGTCGTTGCCCGAAAAAAAGAGAAACAATGAAACTTTGGAAGTCTAACCGAAGAAAATACTGACCCTAGAGCAAAACAATGAAACTCATATCGATGATTTGGGAGATTAGTTGGCCATGTTCAGTATATACTAGAAGTTACCAAATAGGACACACTCTACTCGAAGAGAAACTCAAGCAAGGACAAGCGTGACAAGTCTAATCATCCAACTTGTTATGAGTGCATAGAAATACGACTTTATAGGAATGACAATCCCTGGAGCAAATGTAGAAAAGAAGATGACAAAAAAAGAGGCAAATTAACATATGTTATGATAGTATGACATATTGACATGTGATGATGATGATGAGGTGTGTTATAATTCATTATTACGGAGTATATTCTTCTAATTGTAGTTGTACTTTCAAAGAACTTAGAATAACCTTAGACCTACATAGTGATCTTAAACGTGTCTTAAAAGAGAAGAAAACCCTTTTGAAATCCTTCACATCTTTACAATATACATATGCCGAACATATAAATATGATCTAGTTCGTAAAAATGAAATATATTACAATAGTCCCACGTACCCTTTCGTTATCCAACCTTTGCACCTCATGTTCATTGACTGGTCTCTGACCGGTTGATGATCTGCTATTCCGCGTTATTTTCTTATCTGCAAATCATTATACCATAAATCTTATCTTTCACAAAGATAATATTTTACAAAGATAAGAAAATAACTTGGAATAGCAGGTCATTAATCGGTCAGGGGACCAACGAATTAAGGTGGGGTGCAAATGTTGGATTATTCTTGAATAATGAAAAGGTGAGACTATTGTAAGAAGAATGCTAAAAGCCTAAAAAGTTGGATTATTAATTTCCCTTAAAGAAAAAGAATTTCTCATGATCTTAAAAGTGAGAATAAAGTACTCTTGGATAAACTTTCTAAAGTTCTAAAAGACATGAATGAATCTTTTGAAAACCTTCGAAAGGAACCTACACGCCTTTTGGGAAAAAAATTACGAAGTATAAACTTCAAGAAGACAGTGTTGCTTTGAACAAAAATCAACTTATATATTAAGAAATATTTTAATTTAAGACCTCTCAAAGAAATCCTTTGGGAATCTCAATTTTAAAAAATCATTAATGTACTCTTGGATTTGAACAATAAGAAAACGTAGTTTCGCCTTCTAAAATGAAAACCTTAAAAAATTCTACTACAAAACCTAATGATCAATGACTATACGAGATGAACGAGAAACATTCTTTATCATAACAAGTAAAAGCGGACGTCTCCCTATAGATTAGGGTTGGAGTTTCTCGGCGGCGTTCTTCTTCTTTTCGATCGCGAAGGGAAGACGGCATCGGCTCGAGGTGTTTGGTTGGGCTGGCACGGGCCTTGGGACTGGTGCACAGCAGATTGAAGGCTTTCCAATGCAGCAGGGGTCGGGCAGTTTGGATCGCAGTTTCGCTTGGATCATGGCCTGCTCGTTTGTGTTACTGGTTTCGGTTGGGGAAATACCATCAGGCTGAGATTCCGGGTTCACTCGTGCTATAATTGCAGGGGGTAAGAAGGTGTCTTTGGAATTTGTGGTGGTAGAATCGCAAGGAATTTTTCAAGACGAAGGTTTGATGATCCGCCCCCCTCCTGAGCCACCGCCAAGGATGATGCTTGAAGCAGGGATTCGTTTTCGCTGTCAGTTTAGTTTATTTAATTTTGTTTTACTCTTGTTGAGTTTTTTTGACATGATGATGATTTCCGTCGTTGTTGCTTTCTGTATTGTCGTTTTCAGTCAGACTCTTACATTAGGTAGGGGTGATGGGGGTTTTGTTCTAGCCACGTTTGGCTCATTTAGGCCCATTATAGGACAAGCGAATCATATTGCTCTATACAAGGTGATTGGTTCTCCAGCTGGTCCGAGGGTCGGTGGCTGGAAGTATTTCCTTTGTCATTTGTATCCCTTACTGAATGTTTTATTATCAATATAAGCCCTGTCACGCCCCGGACCTACCGAACACGTCAACAACCCGCCGTACAGTACGCATAGTCAACCGCAGTCCAACTCATCCATACTATACTAGGCGTCTTGAATACCAATCACGTATAGTACATCCATAAACAAACATAATGTAAAATAATCATTTAAAGCAACGGAAACATTCAATAAAGTGTTTATGCCACACTTTGGCAAACATGGGCATACAAGTCCCCAAATAATTATTCAAAAATAATATCCATGAGCATTAATTTAAATGTTTTTAAAACAGAGGCGGAGGAAGCAAGAACCACGTCTTCCTTCCTGGATCTTCCCGAAGAAACGGGCACTAGTAGCAACCTTCAAGTTCTACCTGAAACTGTGAGGTGGCCTCCCCCGTGAAGGGGATGTCAGTACTTGGAAGCATTTGACAAGTACAATGACAACTATACCAAGTATAATCAATGTTTCAATTTCCAAGACCCTCAAATAGAGTGATATTATATTATAGGTCATAGCCCTTGGTTACCCTCTTTGAAAATATACTTACTTTATATATAAAGTCAAGTAGTCGGCCCGTAGGCCCATATGCGTTTGAAAATCCATCCCCTTTTTCCCGTGACTATTGGTCACGAATGTCATAAACCTCATGTAAATTTATTCATAGTCATAGGGCATTACCCTATTACGTAAAATAAATATCATAGAGCCTCGCTCGATTATATTACTATATGAAGCTAGAGCCTCGCTCGATTATATTACTATATCAAGCTAGAGCCTCGCTCCTAGTCTCCCTACATCGTGCTAGAGCCTCGCTCTTAGTCGCCCTACATTATACTAGAGCCCCGCTCTTAGTTTATCTACATTAGCTAGAGCCCCGCTCTTAGTCAATCTACACTAGCTAGAGCCCCGCTCGTAGTCAATCTACGTTGTGCTAGAGCCCCGCTCTTAGTCACGTTATTCAACCCCTGAGCAATTTGTATGCCTAGAATCGATTTAGTTTGAGTAGCCTTTAGGGCCTACTCCTAATATACTTAGAGTTCACACATCTCAACCTTAAAGTATCTCTTGGACTACTCAAGGTATAAATTCTCACAACCCAATTCATTTGGATTAATCTATTGTTTCTCATATTAACATCTCGGCTAGTGTTTCAATACTAGTTGAATAATCTTAGAACAACCGAGTTCTCAACCCATAGACACATAGTGCATTCCAATTGATCTTCCAATTCAAATATAATTTATTCTCAATATCAAAAATATCACTTTTACCCATTCATGAATTCTTTACATGAAGCAAAAGTATATTTTATCACCATATTCATAGTTCACTCAACTATCCTGACATCATATTCATAATCACCTAATCATACACAATTCATTCATAATTTGTATATAATACTTCATTTACCCGTAAGCAATAGTATTCTCATTTCGGCATTATTAATCAATAATAATCTATGAAAATCACATT